GGGTGGGTTTAAACAGGCGATGTGGTGTCTGGTTGCATGTTCTTTCCGAAGCCATAGTGATGGACTACTAGAGACAGGATGGCCAACAAGTAAGCTGGGTTGGCTGTCTTGGCACAGTGAGGTCGTGGGGAGGACAACTTTGTAGCCAGAGCAGGCTTGGGCCAGGATTCCTGGGTTCTGCTCCAGCCTTCAGCAGCTTATTGTCGCCCTCAGCCTCTCTCCAACGTGGGGCAGGAGACCTGGATCCATTTCCCCTGCTCTCCCCTATCGCTGGTATGGGGTATGGGTCTCTTCCAGGTCACCTGTGCCATCAGGTGAGTGTGGGACAAGGTACAGCCCACCACTCACCAGTTTCAGTATGCATGGCCCCCTTGTGCTCTGCCAGCCTTCCCTGCCCCAACTCATCTTCCCTCCTGGCACAGCCCACCATGGCTGTTATCTACAGGAGGAGAGCCCTTGTGGTCTAAGGAGATGCCACTGCCTTGGAGACTGTGGTCTTAACCTCCAGCCTGGCACTGAGCCACCTGCAACCTACTAGGAGGTGACCTTGGCTCCCAGCCTGACTCATCTGAGCCTGGATCCTACGTGTAGGCAAGAGCCGACTCTGAGTCCTGGCCCAGCCAAGCTGACCGGTGCCCTAGCGCCTATGCACTGGATGGAGGTGATCCTGAATGCCAGCCCAGCTGAGCTGTCTCTGAATCTGGCATGCCAGCCAGAGTTGACCCTAAGATCCAGCCTGACCAAGCTAACCCTGGATCCCACACGTCAGCCAGAGCTGACCCCGAGCCCCCAGCTAGCTGAGGTGACCCTGGATTCCACACGCCAACCAGAGATGACCCTCAGACCTGGCCTGGCTGAGCTTAACCTGGATCCTGAACCCCAGCCAGAGGAGACCCCAGCCCCCAACCTGGCTGAGTTGACCCTGGAGCCTGTGCACTGCCGACCCGAGCTCCTGGGTGCTTGTGCCGACCTCATCAATGAGCAATGGCCCCGCAGCCGCGCCTCCCGCCTACACTCCTTGGGCCAGTCCTCAGATGCCTTCCCCCTCTGCTTGATGCTACTGAGCACCCCACACATGCCCACAGCGGCACCCATTGTGGTGGGCCATGCCCGCCTCTCACGGGTGCTGGACAGGCCCCAGAGCCTTTTAGTGGAGACAGTGGTGGTGGCCCGGGCCCTGAGGGGCCGTGGCTTTGGCCGCCGACTCATGGAGGGCCTGGAGGTCTTTGCTCGGGCCCGGGGCTTCCGCAGACTACACCTCACCACCCATGACCAGATGCAGTTCTATGCCCACCTGGGCTACCAGCTGGGCGAGCCTGTACAGGGCCTGGTCTTCACCAGCCAACGGCTGCCCACCACCCTGCTCAGTGCCTTCCCCAGGGCTGCCTCTCCCTGGCCACCCTGCAATGCCCCAAACCTGATGGTCCAAGTTGCCCCAAGGGGCCCCAGGGGGCCTCCATTGCCACCACCCCCTCCCCTGCCTGAGCCCGTGACCACCTCACGCCCAACTCCATCAGGGAACCGTCCGAAAAGCCTGCTGGAGACACAATACAAAGACCTGAGGGGATGCCCCATATTCTGGATGGAGAAAGACATCTGAGGGCCACCCAGGGCAAGAGACTGCTATTCTGGGTCAGTGGACTGCCTGGGACAGTACTGGCCTCAGCCCACTGGCCATACCTCAGCCCTTAGCCCCTGGGGGGCAGCTTTAGCTTGGGCATGTTTCCTGGGTACCAGCGGGGCCAGGAGGTGGCTGCACAGCTCTGGCTCAGAGCCATCAGTGTGGCTGAATAAAGGCTTCTGTTGGGTGTGGCTGTGACAGTTTATTTGTTGATCCCCACCCTCACCTCTCAGGTCCCCTATTCCTGCAAAGGCCCCAGATCTACCTTGGCCCTGCAGCCACTGATGAGAGGACACCTGTCTTTTGCCCCTCTAACCCTGCTAGGCCCAGGGGACTGAGTGGCTATTCTCTTCCCTGTTCACTCATTACCATTCCCTGAGCACCTGCTGTGTGTCAAGCTCTGGATCGGGGTAAGCAATGGAGAACTAAACAGGTAGGGTCTCCACCCAAAGGGACAGATAGGGAGACAAACAGGCATACAGTAGCAGGATCCATGCTGGGACAAGGGAGGTACAGAGGCTTCAGGAGCCCAAATGCCTTCACTCCACCTAGGGATCCAGGTCACCTCTCAGGATAGGTGATGTCACAACAGAGACTTGAGTGCTGAGTAGGAACTAAGCCAGGCAGGCAAGGACGTGGGAACTGAGTATTCTTGGGGCAGGGAACAAGATGGGCAGAGGAAAGAAGGGTACTTGTGACAGCTGTGAGTGGGGGAGGTATCAGAGGACACAGCGGTATCTTGACAGATTGAGAACATAGGAGGGAAGCTATTGGGATGTGGCTTCTCTGAGATTCCTATGGGACCCCTGGGGATCCATGATTTCCCCAGCTCCCCATCCTTATGGGGAAGAGCTGGGGGAGCTTTCCGGACTTTCCTTGCTGTGTGGAAGGTGTGGCCATGGCCATGAACTCTAAGCTCAAACCCCTTCTCTCCTACAGGTTGCTATCCCTGGGGTGTGACCATGCAGCTAGGCCCAGCCCTGGTACTGGGGGTGGCCCTGTGTCTGGGCTATGGCCAGCCCCTGCTGCAGGCCCCTGAACGCCCCTTCTCCGTGCTGTGGAATGTACCCTCAGCCCACTGTAAGGCTCGCTTTGGTGTGCACCTGCCACTCAATGCCCTGGGCATCATAGCCAATCGTGGCCAGCATTTCTATGGCCAGAACATCACCATCTTCTACAAGAACCGTCTTGGCCTGTATCCCTACCTTGGGCCTAGGGGCACAGCTCACAATGGGGGCATTCCCCAGGCCGTGCCCCTTGGCCACCACCTGGCACGGGCTGCATACCAGATCTACCACAGCCTGCGACCCAGCTTTGCTGGCCTGGCAGTGCTAGACTGGGAGGAGTGGTGTCCACTCTGGGCTGGGAACTGGGGCCGCCGCCGAGCCTATCAGGCAGCTTCTTGGACTTGGGCACAACAAGTGTTCCCTGACCTGGACCCTCAGGAGCAGCTCCACAAGGCTCGTACTGGCTTTGAGCAGGCAGCCCGTGCACTGATGGAAAAAACGCTGCGGCTGGGCCAGGCACTGCGGCCCCATGGGCTCTGGGGCTTCTATCGCTACCCAGCCTGTGGCAATGGCTGGCGCGGTATGGCTTCCAACTACACGGGCCGCTGCCAGGCAGCCACCCTTGCCCGCAACACCCAACTGCATTGGCTCTGGGCTGCCTCCAGTGCCCTCTTTCCCAGCATCTACCTTCCACCCAGACTGCCACCTGCCCACCACCAAGCCTTTGTCCGACACCGCCTGGAGGAGGCCTTCCGTGTGGCCCTTGCTGGGCACCCACATCCCCTTCCTGTCCTGGCCTATGCCCGCCTAACACACCGGAGCTCTGGGAGGTTCCTGTCCCAGGTAAGTGGAAGCTGAGGTCTGGGGATCTGAGTTGGGAAGCATGGCCTTGTCCTAGGAAGCTCTGAAGAGAGGACCTAGCCCAGGGAGATTTGAGGGGGAGGTCCTGATCTGGGGGTTCTGAGGGGAAGGACCTGTCCTGAAGCATCTGACAAGGAGGGCATGGCCCTGGGAGATTTTGAGGAGTAAGGCAAGACTCAGCCTTTGGACCTCTGATCTGAAGGGGGACATTCTAAGTGGAGGTCCTGAGAAGCCAGTCAAGAGGTTCAGTACAGAGGAGCCTGACTCTAGAGGTAGAATCAGATCATGGCAGTGAACCAGAAGAGTCTCTAGAAGATGGAGGTGGGCCTACATGGATCTGGCCCACGTAATCCTGGCTTAGCAGCTCTCTGCCTCCAGGATGACCTCGTGCAGACCATTGGTGTGAGCGCAGCACTGGGGGCGACCGGCGTGGTGCTCTGGGGGGACCTGAGCTTCTCCAGCTCTGAGGTGATCATTGCCCCCTTGAGCCTGTCATGCAGCACGTGCTGGGATCACAGGGTGGGGGAGAGGCCATGACAAGGCCATAGAGCAGGAGCACTGACATCCCTTCCCTTCTCAGAAGAAATGCTGGCATCTCCATGACTACCTGGTGGGCACCCTGGGCCCATATGTGATCAACACAACCAGGGCAGCCATGGCCTGCAGTCACCAGCGGTGCCATGGCCATGGGCGCTGTGCCCGGAGAGACCCAGGACAGATAGAAGCCTTTCTGCACCTACGGCCAGATGGCAGCTTTGGAGATTGGAAGTCATTCAGCTGCCGCTGTTACTGGGGCTGGGCTGGCCCTACCTGCCAGGAGCGCAGGCCTGGGCCTAAGGAAGCAGCATAAAGCCAGGAGTCCTTACCCCTGCCTCCTCTTTTCCCTGCTGCCACTCTCCCAGTCCTGGAGCAACTCTGTCCCACTCTTGCTCTATTCACTTACAGTCAGTCCTCCCAAGCACACACTCCACTTCCATCCTGCTTCCCTTGGGATCCCCTCAGGACCAGAAAAAAACAGTTATAAAAAAAACCAGAGGTCCTCTAAGAACATCTGACTCCTCATGACAAGGAAGCAGCCTAGGGGGAGTCAGGTTCCAGTTAGTTAGGGTTGCCACCCTGGGCTTTGTGCCTACACCTCTCTGGGTCCATGGAGAGGTCACAGGAGATCCGTTCAGGGATGTGCCCCAAGAAGAACTTGGGGAAGGTCTGTAAGTGCTAAGTTGTTGTCTGTACTCTGCTTTAATCATAAAGTAACTTTTTCTTTCACTACCTGATGTTTGGCTGTTCCCTCTGTTCTACCGAGCCCGAAGCTCTTCCCGTGGTCCTCAGACCCAGGCAGCCCTGTAGGCCCTGTCGCGAGTGCCCTGCTGCAAGTCCAGCAGTGGTGCTACGGAGAGGGAAGCTTCAAAGTTAACCACTGTGCACTTGCGCAAGACGCGGCTGGAGGGGGGGGCGGGGCGGGTACGATGCAGGGCATTGTGGGTGCATAGTTCAGCTAGAGTGTCGTTGGCTTGTGGGTCCCAGGAGTGGACTACAATTCCCGTTGTGCTCTACGCCCAGCTGGCCAGCGGCGATCAGCGCGCGCAGCCCCCTGGGAATAGTAGTTTTGGCCGCGTGGATGCGGGTCTGAGCCGGATAGCCGGGAACTCGTCTTCCCGGCTACCCGTTTGGCAGGGCGGGGGGCCTCGCGAAGATGGTGGCGCGCGCGGCGTGTGGCTCCCGTCGTCTGGCCAAGTCTCAGCGCAGCGCACCGGCCGGCGTCTCGCTGGTCTGGAGCGCCCACCCGCCGGGTCCCTGACCCTCCGCCCTCTGCGCCCCCCGCGCCCGGTTCCTGGCATGCCTCGAGCCCGTAAGGGCCACGCGCCCCGCAAGGGCGGCCAGCGCCGTGGAGGAGGTGAGTTGGGGGCCGGGGGGGCAGCTGATGAGAGCTGAGCGGGGCGCTGCGTGGGTCCCCGTCAGTGACCCCGAGGACCCTAGGGTGGGGAACCCCCTCTTGACCAGTACGGCACAGCTTCCCAGAACTCTGCTGAGGCCGGCACGTGCCCCAGCAGGCATCTGCCACGTGTGCGCCCAACTTGAACTTGCTTCCAGCTACCTGCCGGGTGCCTGTGCTCCCAGCAGTGACACGGCCAGCCCCTCTGGGTTTCGGTTTCCCGATTGTCTTTCCGGCTCAGTTGCCTACTTGGGTGAACAAACCCACTAGACAGAGCAGAAAGCCAGTTACCTCGCCAAACCCCGATCCATTCCTGGACTGGACAAGGAAGTTGGTGGGAGGCATGCCTTGCTCCAGAGAACAGAGGGAGGGGGCGATTGGGAAGCTACAGAATTAGGGCCTTGGCGGGCCTGGCTGCAGAAGGTGTGTGAGTATCCTAGAGCCTGAGGCTTGGGACTCCCTTATCAGCGTCTACCAGGACCCTGTCCTGGTGCAGTAAACACATGTGTTTACTCTGCTGGGATGGGGTGCCTGCCAGGCATAGCTTTAAACTGGCCACCACCCTGATGCAGTTTGGGTGGGGGAATATCTGATAGGGTACGGAACGTGCTCACTTAATGCTGTCAGCCCCAGACTTAGGAACCAGGGAGACCCCAGGTTAGGGGCTTCTCGGTGAGTCCTAAGAAGGTGGAGAAGAGGGCACCATGCAGAGAGAACAAGTTGCATGAAGACCGGGCAGCTGGAGGGACCACAGCACAGTGGAGCATATGAGGGAATGCTGGGCTGCTCTGACAGGTGGGATAGTAAGAGAAGAGGTGAACAGAGGCTAGTGTGTGGGCTGGACTTTGTCCTGTAGGCAAGGGGTGTAAGTAGTTCTGAGAAATAGAGCCAGCCTGGTGATCATAACCTGTCCAGAGCACTGCCACAGCAGCCACCCTTGCCAAAGTCAGCCCTTAGCCCTGGACAGATCCCACGCACAGTAGTGCTCCAGCCCTACTGACCCTCATACTCACTTGTGTTCACCTATTTTCAGGGACTCGTACAATCAGGGGCCACTGCACTTCTTGCCTTCCCAGAGTCTGGGGAGCCTGTGTATCCACCCAGGACTGAAGGCCCAGCCTAGGGATGACCTGGCAGGCTTGGTGGGCAGTACCTCCCTGAGGCTAGAGCCTGATGCTATCAACAGAGAGACCTCTTTCCATATTTATATTTTCTCCTGCTTCCTGGCTCCAGTCCCCTGAATCAGCCCCTCTGCTGCCTGCCTCATCTTTGGTTTTCTCATCTCAGAGAGGAGGCGGTATTATGTCTTATGGGGCCATGAGGTTGGCGAGGGAACCCTGCCATCCCTCATCAATGGAGGCAGGTTGAGTGCCCCATTCCACTCTTCTCAGGTGCCCGGAGCAGTGCCAAAGCTGACTCAGGTTCCAGTGAGGATGAGGCAGCCAGTGAGGCCCGCAGCACCACCAGTGAATGCCCCAGCCTTCTCAGCGCCACGGCCGAGGACAGCCTTGGTGAGAGCGGGTAGCAGTTTGGCAGGGACTTGGTGAGGGCTCCTTTGAGTGAGGGCAAGAAGTAGTGCTGACCAGCTGGCCTTGCAGGGGGGGATGTCCTGGATGAGCAGGGCCAGCAGGAAGACCTCGAGGAAAAGCTGAAGGAGTATGTGGACTGCCTCACAGACAAGAGGTACCCCTGGCTGCCAGCCAACTCCTACACCCAGGTCCCTGCTCAGCCCACACCAAGTGTGACCAAGGGAGAGCTGACCCATATGGCCCTTCTTTCTCCACCGCCCAGTTTCAAGATCCGGCAAGGTGCTCTGGAGAGCCTGCGCCTGGCCCTGGCGTCCCGCCTACTCCCTGACTTCTTGCTAGAGCGCCGCCTCACACTGGCCGATGCCCTGGAAAAGTGCCTCAAGAAAGGTTGGAACCAGGGGTGTGTGGGAGACTTAAACTGGGGAGGTGCTGACCCTTGCTGCATGTGCTGACTTGAAAGCATCCCACAGGGAAGGGTGAGGAACAGGCCCTGGCTGCTGCCGTGCTAGGCCTGCTCTGCGTGCAGCTGGGCCCTGGACCCAAAGGCGAGGAGCTGTTCCACAGCCTGCAGCCTCTGCTGGTCTCTGTGCTCAGTGACAGCACAGCTAGCCCTGCTGCCCGGCTCCACGTGAGTGTCTTCATGAAACCCTTCCCCTACCTTATCCTTCAGCAGGCTGGTGGGTTCCACCTGCTTTCAGGCTTCCCTACTGTCGGGGATGGTGGGGGTAGGCCCCATGGCTGGGAACCTAGCCACACCCCCTGACCATGGCCTGGCCTTGTCCTCACAACAGTGTGCTTCTGCTCTTGGCTTGGGCTGCTATGTGGCTGCTGCTGACATCCAGGTGAGTGAGTGGCCTTTGGGCATAGATGATAGAGCACCTAGGCCCATAGCTCTGCCCCTGAGCCACTCCCCTGCCTCCTTGTGCTTCTAGGATCTGGTCTCTTGTCTTGCCTGCTTAGAAAGTGTTTTCAGCCGGTCCTGTGGTGTGGGTGGCTCTACAGTTCCAGTGGTCCCTGCCAGTCTGCATGGCCTGCTCTGTGCTGCCCTGCAGGCCTGGGCATTGCTGCTCACTATCTGCCCCAGCACCCACATCAGCCACATCCTCGACAGGTAGGGGCTGCTGCCCAGTGGGAGGAGGAGGGGAATCTCAAAGAGGCCCCCAACCCACACATGTAGCTCAGCCTGCCCCTTCCCTAGGCAGCTGCCCCAGCTGCCCCAGCTCTTGTCCAGTGAAAGTGTGAACCTGCGGATCGCTGCCGGTGAAACCATCGCACTGCTCTTTGAGCTCGCCCGGGACCTTGAGGTTTGAGGGACAGATGTGGGGTGGGGTCCCTACTAATATCACCTGCCCATCCCAGGCCGGTTGCAGGGAATGGTGCAGAAAACAGAATGACCTTGGGTCAATATGCAGTGGAGGTGGCACCAACACAGACTCGCATGCTAGGTGCTAGGATGCTATGATGGGGGCCCTGAATAGGGGTGTCCCTGGCCAGGCAGAGGCCAAGGGAGGGGTTCAGAGGGGCCAGGCAGAGAAGGGCTCTCAGTGAAAGGAGGGGTTTGGGCAGCCCAATGTTGAGAGCCAGCAGAGCTCAAGCTTCTGCCAGATACCCTCCATCGCTCCCACTACAGGAGGACTTCATTTACGAGGACATGGAGGCCCTCTGTAGTGCTTTGCGCACTCTGGCCACTGACAGCAACAAGTTCCGTGCCAAGGCTGACCGCCGGCGCCAGCGGTCTACTTTCCGCGCCGTGCTCCACTTTGTTGAGGTAAGAATCTGTGTGTCCTGGGGAGAGTGCATCTCCAGGCATAGCTGCCAAGCCCAGTCACATGGGCCTCTCTACCCTGCAGGGCGGCGAATGCGAGGAAGAGACAGTCCGCTTTGGGCTTGAGGTGCTCTACATGGACACCTGGGCCCGGCACAGGATCTACGCTGCCTTCAAGGAAGTGCTGGGTTCGGGCATGCACCACCATCTCCAGGTGGGGAGGACAGGGATGGGGCACTTGGCTTAGCTGCTTCAGGCTGGCCTGAGCTTACTGTCCTTTTTGTCCCCAGAACAACGAGCTACTCCGTGACATCTTTGGCCTGGGCCCAGTGCTGGTGTTGGATGCCACTGCACTGAAGGCCTGCAAAATTCCACGATTTGAGAAGGTTTGCACCCTTGGGCACCTTGGTCTTCCCTCTGTTCCCCTGTTTCCTGGAGGGCTGGAGCTCTGCAGGGGCTTCCTCCTTCCCAGCTCACCAGGTCATCCCTCTTTGCCCCACCCCAGCACCTGTACAACGCTGCTGCCTTCAAAGCCCGGACCAAGGCTCGCAGCCGCGTGCGGGACAAGCGGGCAGACATCCTGTGAAGCAGGACCAGCTAAAGAGAAGACCAGCCATACCCTTGCCCATATTTTTAACAGAAGACAGTGCAACAACTGGTCTCTGCCAGTAATTGTCGCTTTATTTTTTTAATGACAAAACCAAAAACAGACATGGAGTGGGTGGCTGGGGGCCAGGACACTTGGGACCCTGGCCCTTCATCCCTGCACTCAGCCCTGTGCCCTTTCCTGCCCTGTCTCAGGCTGGGTCAAATGTGGCCCAGGGCTGTGGGGCAGACAGTAGGGGAGCTGTCCCTTCTTTTTCTTTCTCAGGCTTTGCTCCCCTGGGATGACCCACTTCCTTGGGGGAGATGGCATTTAGACAAATGCCACCACAGCAGCTGGGGAGGCAAAGCTACCTGGAATGGATTTGTTTGCTGATTTTTAAAGATTATTAGGGATAATTAAACAGAATGCTCAGCCTTCTGTGGTCTTGACTCCTGGGTATCTATCTCTGTCTACCCTCCCTCCCCATCCACCACCCTAGTCTTGGGCCCAGCTGGGTCTTCCTCCATCTCACCTTTGTCCTCCAAGGCAGTCTCCCTAAGTGGTCCCCCTCCCCCTATTCAGAGTCTAGCCTGTCTTTGAGAGCCGAGGCTGGACTCCCACTGGGCAGAGTTTGAGAGACAGCAGTGAGAGAGAAGCTATTTCTACACTTCTGAACCTGCCATCTGCAGATGGCCAGAGGGTGCTGACAGGCCACAGGAGGAGCCAGGAGGCTGGTTCCCCTTCCCCTGACCTTGGACCACCCAAAAGCAAGGCCTGGGCACCAGAAGCCTTGGCTAGGCCTGGCTTGAAGCGGGCAGGAGAGTCAGGCAGCTGTGGAGTCACATCAGGTTCTTAGACGAAAGGAAGGAAGGAAGTAGTGTAGATGTGGCCAATGGCAGGAGAGGAGAGATCTATCTGCATTCACTTTATCCCCACCCCCACACATACTCCTCCAGGCCCCAGGTCAAAATGGCATCTCAGCTGGGTGCTTGGGCCTCACTGGAGTTGAGCCTCCGCAGCTGACTGAGGCTGGCCAGGCGAAGTTTGAGTAGCGTCTCCTCCTGGGTGTGCAGTGTGTGTGCCAGGATGCGCAGGGATTCACTCTGCAGCACTGCAAATGGGTAGGCAGGAGTGGGAGATAGTCAGACTATGCCATCCCACAACCTCCCCCCACCCAGCCCAGCACCCAGGGTTGCCCATAGAAGCCCCCAACCCCAGCCTTCATTGCTGCAGCATCTGCAGTTGCTCCTTCCAACTGCACAGAAGGGCTTCCCAGTCTCCACTGCCTTGCCCTCTTCCCACCGGTGCCCTGTCATCCCTACCACTCAGGTAGACGGCCAGGATGGCGAGTGCCAGGCAAGTGAGCACCAGCAGCGTGAGCAGCAGCAGGAAGCCCCCCCTGCTATACACAGGGCTGCAGCTGGCCTGGGCACACAGTGACGGTGGCAAAACACCCAGGAGCTCATCCCATGGTCGTGCCTCTTCAGTCAGATAGGGGTGCAGCAAGCCTGCAGGGTGGAGGGGACATCAGGAGGGCAGCAGGTTCGCTCACTTTCGTCCCCACAGCACCTCCATTCTACCTCCCTGCTCCCCTCACCTCCACTGTGTAGGTCACTGATGGACTCCACTTGATGCAGGTGCACCTCCTGCACGTGGTTGGGGGCCAGTGGCCCCCTGCCGCTCCGGTTTGGCATCCTCTGCACCATGGTGTCTGCAGGGGCAGCACGGGGCTGATTCAGCTGAGGTGAGTCATCCCCTTCCTTCTCTCAGCTGGCTTCAGGTAGCAGGGACTTGGGGAGGATGGGGATAGTGGGGCATTTGGCTCCAAATCCCCTAAAACTGACCAGGAATGACCCTTGATTTGGATCCCCAACAGGAGGTACACCTGATTTATTTCTTTCCAAACCCCTCAAGGACTTTCAGGCATTTCTCTGCCAGCTCATTTCTAACAAATAGTTTATCAGCCTTGCAACCCACAGCACATGGAATTGAGTCCTGCCTCTGTTATCATTGGTTTTCCCTGCAGACCCTGTGAGTTAGTCATTAGGCCACACCCAATGCCTGGTGGCTTCTCATGCTAGCCGTTGTGCTGCCGTTACCTCCTGGCCTGGGCTCTGCGTTCCTTAACATACGCAGTGTGATTTTGCATGATTCTGTGATCCTTGCTGCTTTCGAGCAACAGCACTGCTGGAGACCCTCCTTTGTTTTGAACACCTCTGAGGCTTCTCCCTGTAGGCAGCTCTTTGAGGCGACTTGGGCATTAATAACCTCCAGGACATCCACCATTGAGTATGCAGGTTTTCCCCAATTTCCCAATAGTTACTATGGCAATTCCCAGAAGTGGAATTATTGCATCCAAGAGCAGGGATTTTTTTTTTTTGAGACAGAGTCTCACTCTGTTGCCTGGGCTAGAGTGCTGTGGCGTCAGCCTAGCTCACAGCAACCTCAAACTCCTGGGCTCAAGCGATCCTCCTGCCTCAGCCTCCCCAGTAGCTAGGACTACAGGTGCATGCAACCATGCCTAATTTTTTTATTTTTTTCTATTTTTGGTTGCCCAGCTAATTATTTTTCTATTTTTAGTTGAGACAGGGTCTCACTCTTGCTGAGGCTGGTCTGGAACTCCTGAGCTCAAGCTATCCTCCCACCTTGGCCTCCCAGAGTGCTAGGATTGCAGGCATGAGCCACCATGCCCACCCAGGGATTTTTTTTAAAAAACCTGTTATCAAATTGTCTTCCAGAAAGGCTGTCCACGGCCCCCAACAGGGTACCACATTCCCACCATTAGGCATCCCCATTGAAAATATATATTTATGGCCGGGCACGGTGGCTCACGCCTGCAATCCTAGCACTCTGGGAGGCCGAGGCGGGTGGATTGTTTGAGCTCAGGAGTTTGAGACCAGCCTGAGCAAGAGGGAGACCCCATCTCTACTAAAAGTAAAAAGAAATTAATCGGACAACTAAAAATACATATAAAAAATTAGCCAGGCATGGTGGCGCATGCCTGTAGTCCCAGCTACTTGGGAGGCTGAGGCAGGAGGATTTACAGGTCCCAGGAGTTTGAGGTTGCTGTGAGCTAGGCTGACGCCATGGCACTCTAGCCCGGGCAAAAGAGTGAGACTCTGTCTCAAAAAAAAAAAAGAAAAGAAAATATATATTTATGTGTAAGTATGTACACATATATTTGCTAATTTGAGAGATAGAAATGGCTTTTTTTGATTGATTTGATTGGGTTTCTTTGTCTAGAGAGGCTGAGCAATGTGTGTGTGGCTTCTTAATTATCCATTCACAGCCTCTGCCCATTTAGTCACTGGTCTGTGTACTTTTCTTGTGATTTTAATTATTTATTTTCAGAAGCATCAAAGCATTTTGTGATTTCTAAACATTTAATTATATTATCTTCTGGTTCTTTGATTTTTTTAAACTCTTGATCCCATAAGAGCTCCAGATGTCCCCCTGGAAGCTAGATAACAAAGTACAGAAGGGAAGTTGGGGGACATCTCCTGATAGGTGCAAGGGTGGCCTTGTACTCTCTGGGTCTGTCACTCTCAGGACAGTTACTTATCTTCATGATGTACTTGAAACTGCCCCTTGACATGCTCAAAAGCAAGGAAAACAGGTGCTGCGAGTCATTATGTCTGGGTGGTGGGTTAAAGGTCATATTAAATTCCCTCTTTGCACTTTGCTGTGCTTTACCCACACTTTCTAAATTGAATGTAGATTCTGTTTGTTACAGGAAAAATACACAGTAAATGTTACCAAGACCCCAAAAGAAGGCAAACATTTCCCCCTACCAGGGGTCAGGCCAAGCTGGGCTGTGGGCTATGAGCTGGAGCCATGGAGCAGTTGGTCCTGCGTCCTGGCCAGCACGGGAGCTGTAGCTTCCTGGATTCCTGCTGGTCTGGCCCTTTGAGCCTCAGTACTTCTTAGGTGCAGTGGAGCAGTTAGGTGAGCGGCCACCAAGCTCTTGACTAGCTGAGTCTCAGTCTGACCAGGCCTAGGGGATATTTAGACCCAAGTTGGCCTCTGGCCTATCTACTGCCCAGTTCCTGGGCCAGATACCCAAATGCTTCCTGGAACCACTCCCACCCCAATCCTAGCTTCTTCCCTGAACGGGCCATGCAGCTGCCTGGATGCCTACACCCTCCTGGGCACAGCCTGTAATTGACCCACTCCTAACTGGGTAGCTTCCCCAATCCCTCCCTGCTATGGCCAGCAGGGGAAAGTGAAGCAGGGCCTGAGGTGGGGAGGGGTTTCAGGCACAGCAAGCTCTTCCTCCATGCACAGGGGGGTAGGTCCCTTTACTAGAGTTTAGACATAAAACTTGATAACTGGTCAAGACAGAGGTCAGTGGGACAAAGGATGGGTCTCTCCATGGTCCACAGAGTCACAGGACTGGGGTCTTACCCTCCCTTCTGGCCACCCTCTCCTACCTTCTTGGGTCTCCTCAGGCATGGCAAGTGGTGGGCAATCGGGGCCAGTGAGGGTGTCCAGTGGCAGGATTGAACAAAGGCAGCAGTGGCTCCTCTGAGAGCCTGGGGAACGCCTGGCTGCCGCCCAGCCTGGACCTAAAATAGGCCTGAGCTCAGCCCACTGGGCTATATTTAGAGGGGGTAGCTCTCAGCCATGGGAAGGGGCAGAGTGACCCACATGGGCCATCCTGGACTATCTACCTGGTGATGGTGCCCAGCCAAGAGCATGCTTCCACTAGCACATGTGCCCAGGGGCCTTCTTAGGGAACCACACCCCCACTTGCAGAGGCCTTGAGGCCCCTCCATCTGGAATAGCCACTTCAGGCTCAGTTCCAGCAGGGCCCCACATGGCAGCCAAGACATACAAGGGGATTCTGTGCATCTACTCAGTCACCACTCCTCCCCAGCAGACATCTACCCATAGCCCAGTCACCTCTCCTTCCGGCAAACACGGGACAATTACCCACCCACCACTGTGTGTGACCTGCCAGGAGCACAGGTTGGAAGTGGTGGATAACAAGAGCCCAGTGCCATGAGAAGGCTTTGACAGCTCCACAAGTGGGCGGACAGAGCATACGTGTTGGCCGGTAGGCAGACCTGGGTTGGAGACTGGTACTTCTATTACTAAGCTCACAACCTTAAAGGAAAAGGATTGCCCTTCTTGGGCCTCAGTTTGCTCATCTGTAAAACGGGAATAACAGAGATTATTCCCTGGCAGAGTACACTGAGAACAGAGATACAACCATGTGTCTGAAGCACTTAGCACAATTCGCGGTTTTGGTCCTTCTCTCCTGTCTCCACAAGGGCATACAGGTCACACAAGGTCATGTGAAGACTCGTATCACTGTTTACCCTTGAAGGGAGGAGGTGGTCCCGGTTCAGGCCTTCCCTCTGTGGTTGGACCCCTGTGTCCCTCCTTCCCAAATAGAGCAAAGCCAGACTGGGCTCTTCTTCCTAAAACATCCCAAACGCATCACTCCCCTGTACCACATTGGCCTCCCTGATGTTGCTCAAACTTGGCAAGCTGTTCCCACCTCAGGGCCTTTGCAGTGGCTGTTACATCCTGGAATGCTCCGTCCCCAGATATTCCTGTGCTTGGCTCCTTGTCATTTCAGCTCAAGTGTCACTCCTTCAGTGAGGCCTTCTTTTGACGTTCTTTTCCATTGCCCTTAGCCCTTAAATTGTATTGTGCAGAGTGTACTGTGCATGTCCGCATTCCCAAAAGCCCTGGAGAACACACTCAGTCTGTAGAAACCCCCTTTAATCCTCACCACTGCAACCTTGGATGGGAGAAACTCAGGCCCTAAGACTGCTAGGAAGGTGCCCAAGACCACAGAGCAAGGCACCTAGCGGTTGTCTGCTGGGGCCATTCCAGCTTCTGCTGATAATGTGTTTATTGCATTACTTTAGTACAGGCGGCCTGCCTCCCCCCGCCCCCAGCAACCCAGCCTGTTCACAGCTTTCTGCTCACTGCCCAAGGAAGGAGTCTGTCCCCAAGGGTGGGGCACTCTGGGCACTTCCCAGGTGGGCCCTCGTGGTTCCGTTGCTCTGAAGCCTGGCTTCTCTGTCCCCTCCCTCCTGGCTGGATCCTGTGCCCAGCCTGGACCGCCCTCCTCGGGGCTAAATTCAAAGGTTATCCTGTTAATAAATAAGCCCGCACAGCTGCCCTAAGGCCAGGGCCTGTCAGTTGGTGTCTCTGTCCACCAGGGCCCCAATGTGCCCGGCCCCAACGCGTCCGTCTGCCCAGGGTTTGTCTGCTCCCTCTCCTGCCTGTCGTCTCCTGCCTGGTCCCAGGCGTGGGGCCAGCCCGGTCACCAGTGCGCTACGCTGCGTGGCCCCCGCTCAGCACGCGGCTCAGGGGCGTGCGTCCGCCGGTTCCGGCCCTTCCTCCGCGACTCTGGGGGCGGTGGGCGCAGCGCAGGCTGAGGGCGGCACATGCGCAGGGAGTTCGCGCCGCCACCGCCGCCCGGCTCCACCAGCTGCAGAAAGTCCCGGTACCAGAGTTTGGGGCCCGGGGGCGGGGCGGGCGCAGCCTCCTCGGCCCGTGCCAGCCGTTCAGCCTGCGCAGCACTCAGCACGTGCAGCGCCAGGCGACGCAGCGGCTGCGAAAAGCCCTGCTCGACCGCCGCACACAGATACACGCCCGAGTCCCGGCGTCGCAGTCCCCGCAGCAGTAGCCCCCGCGCGGTGCGCTCGGCGCGCTCCTCTGTCAGCACCTGCAGGCGGGGGACAGTGTGAAGCCGGGACATCGGGACCGGGAACAGGACTTCCCGCCCAGAGCAAGGGACAGGAGAAGCAAAGAGTCAGTGGGAACCGAGGGAGAGTGGGAAAGGGACGCCCGCAGGGGCACATTTGAAGGTTGGGTGCACTGTGGCTAGTGGTCTTTAAGTGAATATTCGAACCGGGGCAAGGTTTACCTGAAGGTGGGGAGCGGGTCAGGGACCTCAATGGGCGGGTCGAGGGCGGGTCTTCTCCCAAATGTGGGGTGGGAGAGGCGGGTCAGGAGCCTGGTTGGACAGAATGAGGCCTCGCCAGGATGTGGAGTGCAGGTAAGGGACCAAACTGGACGTAAGGGGTCTGTCTGGTTGGGCGGGTCCTCAATGGGCAGGACCTAACTAGACGTGAGGTGAAGGCCAAGGGCTTCGATAGGCAGGGCGGGACCTCTCCCGGATGTAGGCGGGACAGGGCCTGGTTGGGAAGGGCGGGGCAAGGCTTACCTGGGTGTGGGCCGTCTCCCCGGCGCGCTGGAAGGTCCACTCCATGCGCGCCTGCAGCGAACGGGGCTCACATTCCAGAAAGACGCTGCCACCCTCTACGCCAAGCACCTTCCGCTCCAGCAGCGCGGGACGAGATGAGTCTTGGGGCGGGGAGAATGTCAGATTCACGCAAGGCAGGGCAGGTGGGGCATCTTCAGGGGCTGACGGTGGGGGCAGATGGGGCACTCACCCCCAGAGCACAGCAAGCTGGGGTCGCCATTCCTGACGTCTTGTCGTCGGAACCGCCTGGGGGAACATTGGATTCTCGTGAGCCCTTCTTTCAGCCCAGGGTAGAAAAAGACCCTTCGTCTCCCTCGCTGTGGCCCGACTCCGACCCCGCTTACCTCTTGGCACTGGGCTGGAAGCGGGTGCACGCGACTCCGTCCCAGGCACAGTAGGGGTCTCGCGCCAGACAGCATTCAGCGCAGGCGCGGCCATGAGCAGCGCAGCGGTGCAACGCGATCTGGGCCACGGCGCTCCGCGAGGCTACATACAGCTGGTGCTAGGGGGCACAAGGGGCTCTGGGCTGACCAAGGGCGGACCCACGCCTGCTTCCCATCGGTCAGGGATCCCTTCTCCCACTTGACAGGTGAGAATACTGAGGTCTCACTCAGGTCACACAGTCTAGCAAAGGCAGGGCCTCATACTCAAGCCCTGGGGCAGTGAACTATAAAGAGGGGCGAGAGGTCGGGACGCCCTGGGCACAAGCTCAGTCCATCCCACCCCCACCCTCATCTTTCTGGTCACTCACCCTCTTGGAGGAGATTTGCATGCTGGTGACTGCAGCTGAGTCCTGAGAGGAAGGAGGGGCACCAGGGTCAGGGCTTAGTGGGGTGGGGGACCTGGGGTAACGGGGGCCAGGCCTCACCTCAAACACCTGCATCTCCTCCAGGAGCAGCCCCTCGGCGTTAGGTCTGCCACCCTTGGGGACTGAGATCACCTTCAGCACTGTGCCGGCGTCTGCAGGGGCGAGAAGGGGGAATGACCGTTGGTGTTCCCTGACAGCCAGGGCTGGGGTCTCCTTGCCTCCCAGGTCTCCACTCTCAGCATGGTTGGGTCAAGGTGAAAATTGTGGGCTGGAACAATCAGGGCAGCATCCTGAAGTTGGGGCCACAGCCCAGGAAAAGAGATGGAGATGGGCCTGAGCAGGGAGAGCCTCCCCTTCCAGGCCAAGGAGCCTAGATGGAATCTTGTGGGTCTGGGTCTTCGTGGAGAGCCCCTGACCTGTGCCAATGAAGAGGACATCATAGTGTCCGTCAGCAGCTGCCACCCGGTCCGCAGCAATTTGGGTGAAGGTGTACCCGGCTCCCACTTGTAGGAAGAGAGGGCGCCCCCCAATGGGCAGGACAGAGTTGTACATGAGGGGGTGATTCCGAGCAAACTGGATGACGTCGTCTGGGAAGTCCTTGGTGGAACTGAAGGTGCCAAAGGTCTTGCTGGGGCACTGGAAGTGGGGGAGAGGCACAGCAGGGATATAGTTGTGGGGGCTTGGAAGGCAGCCCTCCATGCGGTCTTCTGGGAACATGAAGGGGGAAGGGGACAGAACCCTGCCCTGGGGATTTAAAAAAGTAGACCAGCCTTGCCCTGGGAAGTCTGAGAGGGGAATCTGGCCTTCTCCTGAGGATCCTGTCTGATGATGGCGACTTTTTCGCACCCACAACAAAAGGAAGAAGCCACATCCACCAATAAGACCCCGGGCCGTGTTCTTCACCCTTGAGGCTTTAAAGTGGATTATGTCAGGAGTTCCCAGGCTACGCACCATGCCAGGCCGCGGGTAGGGGACACGACCCTGGTATGACACCCACTGATGCGTCGGCCCCTCCTTGTGCGCAAAGGGTCCCAGGAAGGCCCGGCGCACGTCGTTCATGCTGTACACGCACACCGCGGAGCCCTGGAAGATGCCGCTGTAGGCAAAGAGGAGAGCGGAGTGAGGCCCGGTGCAGCCCAGCTGGCCCCGCCCCGGCGCTCCCAGCGTCCCGCTCCTCACCTGGATGTGGAGAAGACGGCATAGAGCAGAGGGATCAGGCGGTCCCGCGAGGACAGCAGGAACACGTCCTCTGCGGGGGAAGGGGCTAGTTAGGGGAGGCAGCTCCCAGAGTCTGCATCCCTGCCCCCCTCCCGGATACCATCGTCCACCCCGGACTCCGACACTCAGACACTCACGGAGCTGGTCGAAGTGGGTGTCGCCCTCAATGCCCGGCACCGAGCACACTAGCCGCGCCTTCAGGAACGTCGTCCACTTGTTGACCAGGCTGCGCTGGCCGCCAACGTCGTTCTGCCAGGACGATCCGAGAGGATGAGGGCGGGACCCGGGCGGGCAAAGGGGCGGGAGTAGGATCGCCGAGTGTGGCCCGGGGACTCCTCACCCGGCAGATCTGGCCAACGCGGGACACGGACAGGCGTCCCATTGCCGGCGCCGCCTCCACAGCTGACTCACGAAAGAAGAAGTAGATTTTGTCGTCGTCCGGGTTCTCGCTTTCGGGGATCCAGAAGACCTTGACAAACTTGGGCTCTAGCCGAGGCAGAAAGCACGGGGTCAGCGAGTCCTAGCACCGCTCCCCCGATACGGGACCCCACGCCCTGCCTCCCCTTCCCCTTGCCAAGGCTGTAGCACCCAGGGTAGCATATGACCCGGCCTCCAGGACCGAGTTGGGGCGAGGCCGACCGAATCCAAAAGATCAGGGCCTGCGATGCAAAACGCAGCCACGAGGGGGCAGCAGAGACCGTGGCTACCTGGGCAAGCAGGGGCAGACCAGCCGGCGTCTGACCTTGCCCCTCACTGTTCCCCAGGCCTGTGGGCCAGAGAGAGAGGGAGATGGGGTATCTGGTTTCACCTTCACTCATGAATCTTCCTCCCTAGCAGAACCAGATGCTCTCTACACCCGCTTCAAATCTTTCTGCTGGGTCCCCTTGCTTTTAGAAGAAACTATTCCAGCCCCAGACAGTCCAGGCATCTTATCATTATGACCTTATCATAAATAGAGGTCACCCCACAGGAGTATTGGTGTCTAGCATGTTGCTCCTTGGGTCCGTTCCTTTGCTTGTTCCTGCATCCAGGCCTTTGCACTAGTTGTGCCCTCTGCCTGGGATGCTCTTCCCTCACTTCTGTAGGCTGGCTCTCTTGTGCTGTGGGAATTAACTCATACCTCCCCTCCGCAGCAGGGCTTTCTCCACCCCCCCGCCCCACCATCTCCTTTTGCCTTCCTCTCTGGTCTCACACTGGCCTCATGGCCATTGAAATTGGTCTTATCATGTATTTGTTCTGAGATGTGTGAACTCAAAGAGGGCACGGGGCATACCAGTCTCATCTGTCCCTGTGACTCCAGTGCCTGGCACAAGGCCTGACTATGGCAAGTGCTTGGTGAGACCTGGCTGTGCTCATTGCTCACTTACTTTATGGGCCTTGCTTGGCATGGGCCCTGTGGGAGGGTGACTGCCCCCTCCCACCAGCCCCACCAGCCTCTCACCGTTGAGCCAGCGGGAATCATGTGGCTCCGTTCGGAGACTCGGACGCTGGCCCAGGCTGCGAAAGATGGTAAAGTCCCGGCCCATGAGGTCTGCCGCCACCCCTGAGTATAGCTCCTCCCCTGCAGACAGGGCAAGGACCGCTCAGCCAAGCTGAGGGATCTTGGGGTAGGAGGACCTGGGCAACTCTGGAGCTCTCAGGGAGTCAGTGATGCTATGGGGGATCCCCAGAGTCTTGGGGTCTTGAGACTTTGTGAGGTTCTAGCATTTCTAAGGGGTACTAGGAGTTCTGTTGGGGTCCCAACCTTTGGACTCACCCACCAGCACGGAGGCAGCCCGATGCCTGGGGTCGTAAGGACTCTTCCCTTTGCCATCCTCTAGCTTTTGCAGGTCCAGCTGGAGCACGGGCTCCTGGGAAGTGGGGGGAGTTGTTATTGCCAGGCCCTTCCTCACCCTCCCGACTGCCCTCCCTGCCTAGATCTGGCCTTACCTCTAGCCGATGGCCCACCAACACAAACGCACAGGTTGGGTGGAAGGCCCCTGTACCGCAGGCCAGCAAGTGGGTGCGGTTGTAGGCATGCAGCAACTTCACGAAGTTCATGCACTCAGTCTAGTGGGCAGGCAGGGTCAGGGGCAGTGAGGCTTCCCCCAGGGAGGTGGCCTTAAGGGGTCCCAGCTCACCAGTAGCAGCCCCACTCCTTCCTCTCTTCTGCATTGGCCTAGGCAAGTGCTAACATGGGCTACAGGGACCTGAGTGCACTTGATGACAGCCCAGCTCGGCCCTCACCAGGGTGGGTGCATGGGGAGGCACAGGCATGCACTGCCCCCATGACTCAGAAGCCCCCAAGAAGAATAACATGAGTCCCCACCCTGACTCACCACCTCCAGACCTTAGCCACCTCGACCTCCCTGCCCTCATCCCAGCCAGAACAGGCAGTCCTCTGTTTTAGCGCTGCCCTGTCTCTGGGGTGAGGGCTGACCCTCCCCACTCCAGCCGCTGCAGCCGACACTCACACCAATGTCCTTCCCTGCCCAGTTGCACTCCTCTCGCCATTCCACAGGGGCCGGCCAGGCCAGCTATTGGGGGGAGGGAGGGGGCACAGGTCAGGGACTTGGGATGTTCACTATCTTGGGGGACTTTCCACACAGGGGGCCCATTCCCCTGGGTCTCTCCAGGCAGTCTGGAGTGGGGTCCAAGGGCTCTTTCCCTGGGCAGTGCTGAGGGTGGGGGTCCCTCGCACCTTCTTGGCCCGCTTGCTAATGTTGTCCAGGCTGAGGGAGGCCACGTGGTTCTCGGCCCCCACAAACAGGCGTCCACGCTCCTCATCCACCAGCAAGGCTTCGTAGCAGCAGGTCCGCTCCAGCCTGAAGGTCCGTAGACCATGCCAGGCCTGGAGCTCTGCAGGGTGGGGACACCACCAAGGACTCACCAGCTATACTGGAAGCCCCCCAGGCTCTGCCTGGTTGTCTCTCTATAGGCCAAGGTTTTACTTAGGACCTGGCCCACACATGTGAGTTTATAATGTGTGTGAATTTACATGTGTGTGAGTTTACACACGTGCAAAGACAGGCCCACCCAGGTACATGTGTGCAGCTGCCAGGGTAGGCAGTGCACCCCCATGAAGGGGAAAGCAGGTTGAACTTGGGCATGCTCCGGCAAGCAGTGTCTCTGGGCGGGCACACTGGGAGGCCAGGCCTATGGACACCAGAGTTCTGGGGGAAGCTGGGCATGCAGGATGGCCAGAACCCAACCCCAAATAGTCAGGCTGAAGGTTCCTTCCCTGCCACCCCAACACCAGCCTAAGCTCAGTGGACTTGCCTACCCAGTGCCACTGCTTAGTAACCACCTTCCTTTGCAGGGGGCATAAGAATGGGGCTCTGATGGCCCTCAAACCTCCACTTCCCTGTTGCTCTGCTGAAGGGGTATGGCCTGGTTGGGGGTACAGGATGGGACAGAGACAATGTCTGTTGCTATGGGGACAGGAGGAGTTTTCGTGGGAAATAACAAGGAGAATGCAGGCAGAGAAGTTGGGGGCTGAAGCCAGGATAGGGTTAACTGGAGATGGCCTAAGGGTGCCTCTGATCCAACCAGGGTCTGTGATAGGCACACATGTGGGGCAGCAGCCACCACAGAGCTCCCCTGTCCACACTGGGCCTCTTTCCTGCCCACCCCAAGCTGGGTCCTCCTGCCTGCCAGGTGCACCTACCTTGGAAGGAGAGCCGAAGGCGTGGGGGACTGGGGGTGGCACTCCCCAGCCCTGCTGCCCAGAGCAGGGCCAGGCCCGGGATCATGGCGGCGGCCCCGGCCCGCCCCATCCCCGCAGCTCAGGGCGCTCAGGGTTCAGCGGGTGTGTGCGGAGGAGCCTTGCACTGCCCTGGACTCTGCCCCAGGATCTGGAAGAGAAGGAGTCTGCAGCTGGGGCGGGAGGCTAAGGGGAGAGTCCCCAGGGATCAGATTACAGCCCCTAGGGGAAAGAGGCTGGGGGGTCGCATTCCGCTTCCGAGCCCTCCCCTCGCCCTCCCCTAGGAGGGTGCCCCGCCTGGCCACAATCACAGACACACCCACGCCCGGCACACCCTCAGGGTCACCCTGCACTGGCAGGCTCCCGCCCCACCACGTCACCCTCCCCAGTAACCTCCCCTCCCGTATACACACTCACAGACATTAATTCATGCTCTTTGGCCACTTCATGCCAGCCTGAGCCTGGGACTAGGGATACTGGGAGACATAGACAAGGTCCCCATGCAGGAAGGGGCAGAGTGCCAACAAGGATTTGGATTGGTGCAGAGGGCGCCAAGTGCAATGAGCAAAACAAGCTAGTCATGAGAGTGAGAGTGAGGGAAAGGGGGGTCAGGACTCTGGAGGTGGCTGTGCACCCACAGACCCACAAAGAAACAGAGACACTTTTGGGGCTGCAATCAAGGGTGTGGGTGCCTGTGAATGTTACTGTTTCTGAGGTTCCCTTTGTGAATGTGCATATGTGTATAGTGTGTATGTGCATGTGTGTGCACATGTGTTCATGCCTATGTGCGAACATGATGTGTGTCACATTGCACATGTGTAGATATGGGTTGCATGCACAAATGTGCGTGTGCACACAAGTGGCACTGCATGCAATTTATGTGGCGTGTACACGTATGATGCGTGTATGCTTTATATGCAGATGTGTTGCACATTTGTGCATGTGCAAATGTGTATGTTCACATACCAGTGTGCACGTGTCTCAGGGCATGCAAGTGAGCAAATACCACTGCCGCAACAATCATCTGCCTCAGCTTCTGACGTGCGGGTGCTCCCAGGCCAGATTCAGCAGCCCCAGCTCATGCTTGACCACTCCCACCCCAAAGGAATCAAGGGGGCAGTGAGGCAGCCTCTCACTCTCACCCTGGACTCCTGGTAGAGCTGCCCTTCCCCCTCAGAGCCTCTACAGTCTCCCTGAGGCTCTCCTCCACTTCTTTTGCCACTTAAGGATTCTCTATCTTTGAGCCCCTGCACTCCACGAACCAGACACCTGCCCCAGATCCCATAGCTGGGGCCAGGCTCTGGCCCCTGTTAGGCTATGCCTACCCTCCTTCCCAGGAGCTGGCTGGGCAGGTGCGGGACACAGGAACCCTGGGGGTGGGACTAAGCAAGGGGAGCAGCTTCTGGGGCAGGTCCCAGCCCCTCCTCCCATACCCGTGCCCAGCTTCCCAGCTCCTAGACCCCTCCCATGCTAGGACCCCCCACCCCCACCCCTGCTTCCCTCTGCTGACACTTGCCGCTGCCTCTTCTCAGGCTCTAGAGGTCTGTGAAGCCAACACCTGGCTGCCTTCCCATACTCCACCAAGAACTCCAGCAGCGGCACCTCCCCACCCTGGCCCCTTCTGGCTCTGGGGAAGAGGAGAAGCCTAGGGATCGCAGGACACCCTCTGACGGCTCCTTTAAGGAGCAGCCCCCGCCCCCACCAGGCCAGCCACCGCCCCACACGCCCCGTAAAGTTTACAGGGTGGATCGGGTGACGGGGCAGGCAGCCGGACCAGCTGGAGATGGCAGCCAGGCCAGAGTGGAATGGGCACAGGGAAGGGCTGGTAGGGATGACCCCTCCCCTGTTGGGCCTCAAGGTGGAAGGGTGCCCCAGGCAGCAGTCCTGGAAGTCTGGTGGCCAGTCAAGGCGAAGGACGAAGAAGCAACAGAGACCCTCAGCTTCAGGCGGCTCTGCACAGCAGGCAAAGGGAATAGCTGGGTGGGGGGCCCCCCCACAGGGACTCCAATACCTCACCTGTTCCTCCACAGCTGGGGAGCTGCCGGGAGGGATAATGGGGAGCTCCCTGCCACCTCAGTTCTCAGGAGCCATCTGGGATGGGAGGACTGGAGGTCAGGGGAGGGCGTTCTCAACTGGAGGTCTGATGGGCCCTCAGGACCCCAGCCCCAGTCCTTCCTCACCAATTGGCCACTTAGTACTTCAGCTGCCTGGCAGGCAGTGGCTTTGATGACAGCCAGGCAGCGGGGAGGGAGAGCGGGGCGGGAGAGAGGCAGGCGCAGAGGTCCAGCAAATCTCGCTTCTGCACTGCAGGGCGGGGGCCTGTCCTGGACAGATGGTCCTGCATCTCTGCTGGGGGGCGGGGGGCAGACTGTGTGAGCTCTTCCTAGGGGGAAGGTGGGAGGAGCTGCCCCCACCAAACCCAGAGCTAAACCCTGAGGGAGTTTGACAGACAGGATGCAGCTCCTACACCTCAGTGCCTCTGTTGGGAAGGACCTGAGGTCTCCTCCTGAAGCTGGGTGTGGTGAACAACACATCTTATTCGTGCTGTGAGGGATACTTCTTTGGAGGGGCTGAATGTTGACAGTGGCAGAGTAGGGCCCTCAAGTGCATCTGGGTGAACATACCAGGGCTTGAGGATGGGTTTGAGGATGGTCCCGGCAAAAGGCATTCTCCTGTCACGTCCCCCAGCTTGGTGAGCTCAGGAGTCAGCGAGGGTGCGTGGGCATTGCAAGTATGCCGACTTCTGCTGCCGCTCCCCTGGATGTCTTCCAGCCAGGCAGGGACAGAGGTGGGGAGACTGATCTCCAAGTCCTTGGAAGGGGAAGCAGGGCCGTGCTCCTCCTTCGAGCCTCAGGACCTGGCATTCCTGGACTGGCCTGGCCAGCGGGCAGGTGAATGATGGGGACCTCTGGGAGGACCAGGGGCCTCGAAGAGGGCGGATAGAGGGATGCACCCCCGCCTGAGCTCTCGGGCTTCCGGGATGTGGCTTTTTCCTACTCCTGGGCTAGCTGCCTCTTGCCTTGGACCTGGTCAGCCTTCGCTGTGCAAGCAAACAAAATTCTTCGGCTGTTTACAATTTTCCACCCAAGCAGCCAAGATCAGCAAATTTCTTTGAGGTGCCTGCCCACCCCCACTGTGCCCCTATCTGCCCCCACTGCCTTCAGTTCTCCAGGCCCAGGGTCCTGTTTCATCCCCCCAGCCCTGCGTTCACATTGGGAAATGGGACTAGGACCCCCCACCCATAATCTTTCCAGTAGCCTGGGATTCAATCCCCAGCCAAAGGGACTGGGCTGTCTCTGACCCCCTGAGCCCTATGCACTCCCTCCTCTAGATGTGTCCCCTCCCTTGAATAAGAAAGGAGGTCCCCAGGGGTGGGAGCTCAAGTTGTCCCTGTCCCAACAAGTTCCCTTTCTTCTCTTCAGCCCAAGGTCTGAGTGTGCCAGGCCATGGGTAGGGCTTCTATGGTGGCAACACTCCAGGAGCAGGGTCATTGCCTGTGGGTCACACTGGGGCTCGAAGTCCCCAAGGATTCTGGAATCAGGCAGTCAGGGCCTATGTCTCAACAGAATAGGGCAAACCAGGAGAGGCAGCCGGGGTCCCTATTTCTGCCTGTGCTCCTGCCCTAGGGCCACCCCAGGCTCCTGGACCTCTACCTTTTGCTGGGCAGAGGCCTGCCTGGGTTCTTGCTCTGGGACTGCCTGTCAGTGGCACAGCCTGCCAAGGCCTTGGCTTTTCCTTCTGGAAAAACCTAGATTGTTGTGCCAAGTCTCAACACCTGCCTCCCCACCCCCCACCAGTTGGGCCTGCCCCTCTGCCCCTGCCTGGACTCTGGGTGGTGTGGCTGGGGTGGGATGCCCATCTGAGGAAAGCTGTGCCAACCCTCCCAGCGCCCAGCCTGGGCTGGAGAGGATCTTGGGCTCCCCGCTCACACCTGCTTTAGCCATCAAGGTTGGTGGCTCCAACCTCACAATCTTTCCCTCTTCTGGCCATGAGGGTACCAGGCTCTGCTGCCCAGAGGACTTAAGCATGGGGGCGGGGAAGTGGTGGGAGCAGCTGTAAAGAGCCCTCAGGTGTCACCTGAGGCCTAAGTTCCCTGACATTCTAGTACCCACCTCAGAGAAGGCTCCTGGGCAAGGCTCTGTCAGGTACAATCCCACCCCCAGCCTGGTCTCCACATGCCCTGGGGACCCCTAGCCCAACTTTTTTGAAAGATTAGCTCCTCCCTCCTTGCCTGTTCCCCTTCCCTTCTGAGGACCCAGTCAGAGCTGAGGTGGAGGGGCTGAGGGAGGGGCCACCAAGAACCCTGGGCCTTTGGCTGTGGCCCTTCCCTTACCCGCTCTGCCCCTGTCCTCCGCCTCCTGCACATTCCTCCCAGGCTGAGGTCAGCCCCTCTGGGATGGGGGAGCCCCCCCCACTGGCCACATCACAGCTCTTCCCTCACTCCTGTTTTCTTCATCGCCCAGCAGGGAGGGGTGAGGAGGAGAGGGGGCTGGGGGCGGGGCCTTCCTCTCCCTTCCTTCTCCAGAGCCTGGGGTGGGGGGGTGGGTGGAGGGGGCCTGTGCCAGTAATGCTGAAAAGTGGACTCTGATGGCACTCTATATTCATTAGCAGACACTAACATAAATACTACATTCCCTGAATCAGTTAGGGGAGAGCCTCTCAGCAGTGCTGCGTGGGGGCTCTGGATGCTCTGGCAGCAGGGGTGGGGGTGGGATAGGGGGTGGAGGTTGCAGGGGTGCCCAGAGCCTGCCCCAGGGACCCAGGGATCAAGCCCCTTGGGGTTGCCTTGCTGCTGAGAGGCAAGGTTGAATCCTGACACCAGCTGTGCATGCCCAGCTGGAGACTGAACCTCTCAGATCACTCCTCTCTCCCCTGCAGCTGTAAATGGTGGGCCAGGCAGGACTGGCACACAGTGGGGTACCGCAGGTGGCAGGTGTGCACTCTTGTGGCCGCCACAGCTCTGGGCTCCTGGGCACCCAGGCCAGTGGGAGCCTTGAGGGAAACCCTGCACTGCTGCCTCTTCCATCCCAGCTGCACCAAGCGGTCTTCAAGCTCAGCTCCTCTCCTCCCTTCTCTCTGCCCCCCACCCTGAACCCGAACCTCCCTCCCTCCCCTGGGGACTCCTCAGTCTTCTCATTTCCCAAGTCCCCAGCCCACCCCTAGCACTGCAAAGCCCACCCCTCCCGAGAGCCCCTATCTCAGAGAGGTCCCTCTGTCTTGCTTAAGAGAAGAGGACAGGACAAGACACCACTTCCTCCTCTTGCTGCTTGAAGCCTGACCACTTCACCCTACCCCCAGGCTGTGTTCCTGGGGTCATTCTGCCACTCCTCTTCCCATGCCTCCCCTCTGTGGGACCCTGCCCCCAACCCTGACTACTGAGAGCTTGCTGAAGCCTGGGGGGATTGCAGACTTAGCCTGGTATTCACAGCACCACTCCTTAGCTCAGCAGCGCTGGCCACCCTGCCAGTGCTCCAGCTGCCCCACTTCTGGAGGCATCAGCTCTTTTATTGCTAAGACTTTACTTGGGCTATGCCCTGTGCCCTTTAGGCCCTTCCCTTTGTCACCTAGACTCTTCCTCACCATCCACCTCGGCTATCACCCATCCCCCGGGAAGCCCCAGACCTCTGCAGTGCCAGGTTCAAGCCTCTGACAGGGCTCTGGGTTCCCCACTGTGAGGGGAGCAGCAGGGGCTATCATCACTGGGGCCCCCAGGACCCAGCAGAGGACATGCACAGGGAGGCAACAGATAGCCTCCTGGGCCTGCAGGAAGCCCTTCCATCGTCCTGGGCCTGCTGAGTCTCAATGGGGAAGGGGGACTGATGGAGAAGGGACATTCAGAACCTTTCTTGACCCTGCCCAGTCCCCAGGCCTTTACTCCCCTGACCTTTAATGAGGTCAGAAAGCAGAGGGAAGAGGTGTCAAACTATGTTTTTCTCCCAACCAAGATCACCTGTGTGGGGCTGCATCTCCAGCAAGGGGAGAAATCAAGGCAAGGAGGAGAAAGGGACTCATGGCCTTGACCTCTGCCCCCTTGGACACTGGGGCCCAGCACTGTATGAGTGAGGGCTGAGTGGTTGGCAGGTTTGGACACACTTGCTGTCACACAGCGACACACACACCCCAGCTGGCTGAAGGCCACCAGCCTGGGTGGATGATAGGAGATGCCTTGCTCTCTGGGAGTCCCAGGCAGTTTGGGGAGAATGAGAATCCCCATGGTAGGGATGGAGGCCCCTAGGGTCTCTTTTAGGGCAGTAGACACAGGGATTTGGGCCAGTTTTGGGGGAAGGGGACCAGACCCAGAACTCAGCCAAGAGATGCTGTAGTCCTGTCCTTGCTGCCTCTCTGACTCCTAAGGCTGGCCATGCCACCAGCAGCTGGAGTCAGGGCTTGTGGTCGATTTGGCACTCTGGGCCTGGGTGAGGTCGGTGGGGTGGGATGATTCTGAGGAACTGTGAGGGAAGTAGGAGGTTTTCCTGACATTGGGAGAAGCCATGGGGCTGCCCTGGAATATGGTGAGGGGCTCCCCCAGGCCTTGGCAGCCCCTGCAGCCTCGGAAGCCCCAGCTCTAACCCTGGAGAGGGCCCCTTCCCCATTCTGTGCCTGGCATCTGGGCCCCGCCCACCGGCTGGGGGCGGGGCATCTGGGCCTGGGGAGCTGGGGAGAGGCTGCCTGCCTAGGTCTCTCTATACAGTACCCTCTCTGGCCTCTCTCTTAGAGCTTGTCTCTCTCTTAGAACTTGTCTCTCTCTTCCCAGCTGTTCCCCCACCCCCCAAATGGGTTAAAAATACCAAGGCTGCCACCACATCAGTAGCTGGAGCAACTATTTTGAGTGGGCGAGGCCTTCTGGGAGGCGGATCCCCACAGGCTGGAGACAGTCCACTCCACACTGGGAGCAGGAGCCTGGGTCCCTTACTGGCTCTGCATGTCCTGCTAAGGGTCCTGGGCCTTAGAGCTGCAGCTGCCCATGGGTGGGGACAGGAAGATGGGCCTTCTTAGGCTGAGAGAGATCTGGGGATACAGGGCCAGGGAGCACTGAATTTCTGGCTCTCCTCATCAGGTTGTTCCCAAAGGGATGAGGAATGGCTTAGGCCCGGCCCAGGACAGCTCCAGGCAGTGGGGGATGCCCAGGAGCCAACCTCATGGAGTCCCTCCAGTTGGGATGCAGGACACCTCGGCAGCCACTCCCTGCCCACCCCATCCCCCATGGCTGGGAATTTCCCAAGCACCAAAGACAAGGCCGAATTGACAGGCCGCCCCCGCTAGTGCTGGGACAATGGAGCCTTATGCCCTCGAAATCAAGCCGGGTAGGAGGGCCAGGGTAGGTGAGGGCTTACCTGTCTGTACCCAGGGAAACCCTGCTTGCCTGGATCCCACCCAGACCCTCTGCCAAGCCGGGTACAAGGGGGATCCTGGCTAGAGCCCTACATGGCCCACCCAGGGAGGGAGGCACTGGGTGAGTCAGGCAGACAATGCCAGCTCCTCAATGGTTCCTCTGTATGGAGTTCTCCCTCAGGACATAAGGAAAGAACCATCTCCGGCGCCCGCTTCCTGCTGGGCGGGCACCGAAGCACTGGAGCTCCTGCCTGCACATCTGGGGCTCGTTGGTCCAGGCCTGAGCCTCTGAAGGAAGGCACGGATCCCGGGTTGGGCGCGGGATCCTGTTGTCCTTGTCATTCGGCCCTCAGAGGCAGGGGTAGCAGGAAAGGCCTGAGGAACTGGGCGGGACCGGGCCAGGGGGTGGGGGGAGTTGATCTCCTTCCGAGGAGCAGCGACAGCCTCTCATCTCCTTCCAGCTCCCGGGGGCTCCCAGGCCGCGGGGCACTGGCAGGTGTGCGGAGGCAGGGTCCCGGGTCCCTGGCCCAACCCCTCCCTCCCCGCCTCCGTGGCGCCGACCCCGGCCCGCCCCCGGCCCAGGCCGCTTTGTGCCGCCGCGGGCGCAGAGCCGCCGCCGCCTCACAAAGCTGCCTTTGTGTCCAGCGGCCTCCGCGGGACCCGTTGACGTCAGCGTCCGTGACCAGCCCAGCGGGACCGAGCGCGGGCTGCGGTGCCCCCTGGCGGCCGGAGGCGCTAACCTCAGAGCCCCGCCCAATAGAGACCGGTGTTTCACTGAGCCCTCCCCACAGGCTCTGCCGGGGCTGCCCCTGCGCCTCGCCTGTCACTCAGGGCCCACCCCACAGGCACTGCCATCTGCCTTTCTCCTCTCCAGCAATGCGCAGGCACCTCCCATAGCCTCAGAGCCCTGGTCCCAATGTAGCCCTCCAGGGCACGGGGCCCTGCCTGTCCCTAGCCCCCAAGATGGGGGGGGGTCTTCTGGGCAGAGACCTTTCTGAACATGACTCAAGGCCCCTACTGGCTGTTTAGTCAAGTTAAGGGAGTGCAGCCCACCTGGCTGTGTGACCTCAGGAACTCATGCTGTCTCTGGGCCTTTGTGCCTGGGAGGTCAGAAGTCACATTCTCCTCCTGCACCGCACCTGCTCCCAAGGTGGAAGAGGCCCTTAGAACAGCTCCTTAAGAAATATGCCCAGCAGCTCTAGCCAGGCTAGAGGGCTGCCCCAGACCTAAGGCTGCAGAGTGCTGGGAGGAGAGGGAGACACACAGGTCCCAGCTTGAAAGTTCTCTAGTCCAAGTGGGAAAACTGAAGCTCAGAGCATTGGGTCTGAGTGTGACCTGGACAGCTGAGCACCCAGGGCCCTGTCATGTGGGGACTGAGGTCTGGATCACCATGACCTTGGCATATCTTAGCCTGGGTCTTTGCCTCTGGGAGAGAAAAGTACCCAGAAGTTTTTTTCTTTCTACATTTTATTATTTCAAACCAGGTGAACAATTCCATAAAACATGTGAAAAAAGCAAGGAAGTGTTCAACGCTGAATGCCCCGGGCCTGGGGCGAGGGCATGAGGGCACGGCCCCTCAGCAGGCAGCGGCGGTTCCTAGGTTAGCGCTACGGAGCTACATTTAGGTTAATGGAGACTGGGCCCAGGGCCGCTGGGGCAGGGCCCTCAGTGATGTTGGCAGTTGTCTGGAACAGCCCTTGGAACCCAATTCTGTGGAGGGCAGGGCAGGGGTGCCGCTCACACGGGGCGGCCAGCAGGGGCATGGGTGTAAACACGCAGACACACTCAAGGCACAGAGTCACTGGAAGGGGGGCTGGGTGGGTGCTGGTCAGGATCTGACAATTTTAAATAGTTTTTCTCAAAAAGTTTTCTAGGTTTGCAGTTTTTTTTTTTTCCTTTACTTTCATTTTTTTAAAAAGCTACGAGAATGAGCAGGTGGACTGTGGTCTCCAGGAATGGTGGCGTTTCACGCTTCTTGTGCTTTTTCCTTTGGGGCCTCCAAGCGGCTGTGGGGTGGGGTGGACAGGAGGCTCCCTGTAAACATTTGGACTTGGGCTGGGGCAGGGGCTGGTGTTAGGCAAAGCCAGGGGTCCAGGCTGGAGAAATGGGTGCCCCTCCAGACACAAGCCTTGGGGGACTCAGCATGTGCTCCCCTCCCCCCCACAGAACAAGACAATGGTTAAAAAACCAGAACAGATGCCCAGAAAGGGGGTATCATGGCCATTCCTGGCACCTCAGAAAAGGCAAGGCTTCAAACAGGGAGGCCTAGAGCAACCCCTCCCCTAGGTCTGGAGCTGAAGGAGGAGATAGGGAGCTGAGAACAGAGAGAAGATAGGGGAAAAGCGGCCAGGGGACAGGCGGGGAGCGTGGTCTTCTTGCCCTTATCTTCCTCAGGGGCTGGGGGAGCAGAGTCGGCGGTGGCCCTGGAGGTAGGGGACAGTCAGGTCATGGGTTGAGAGGTAGTCAGTGTGTGCCTCTCTTCTCGTCTCCCTAGACAATGACCCTCTCCTTTTTCCCACCTACTTGTTACCAGGGACACAGTTACCCCCAAGGAGCTAGTTTCTGTTGCTGGGTTACACAGGGGAGGGCAGTGACCCCTACCCCCACCCCCACCAGGGCCAGTGGGGCCAGCCTAAGCCCAGGACCCTCAGATAGGTCCGAGGGAAAGATGGCTAGGGGTGGGTGCAGAGCTGGTCATATGGATCAGCAGGAGGTGGGCCTTGTCCAGCACGCAGCTTCTGTCAGGCTAGGCCAATGGCCTGGTGGGTGAGGTGAGATTTCTCCAAGAATATTGGGACAGCCCTCTAGTTCTGTCCCAGGGCAAGACTAGGCCCTTCTGTCTGGACCACGGGTAGGGCCAGGCCTACCTGTGCTACCTCCTCAGTGCCCTGCACTCCACTCACTTGACCCCTGATTCACCATCTGGCACTCCCTCCCTCGTCCTCTGGTCACCTACTGCCCTGCCCCCCCAGGTTCACCACCCCCACCTGGTCCCTCCCCCATCCCCAATCCTGCCCCTCCCCGGGCTCCACGCCCCACTCTGTCCTTGCCCAGCTCCCTGCCTCATGCCCCTCTGGCTCACCATCCTGCCAGGCCCCGCTGCCCCTCAGAAGAGGCCGCAGTCCTTCAGGTTATTCTTGATGATGACGTCAGTGACGGCATCAAACACAAACTGCACGTTCTTGGTGTCTGTGGCGCACGTGAAGTGCGTATAGATCTCCTTGGTGTCTTTGCGTTTATTCAGGTCTTCAAACTTACTCTGGATGTAGCTGGCTGCCTCGTCATACTTGTTGGCCCCTGGGGGAGACAAAATGGTGAAGACTTGTGCTGTGTGGGGCAGGCAGGCCCCGTCCTACACGTGCAATGAGGTTGTGCGCACGTGGATGGGCAAGCAACCACTGTGTGCATGCATGTGCACAGCATGACAAGTGTGTGGGTGCATACGCGTGCCTAAGTGTGTAAAGAGGGTACCCGGTTGTGGGACGGAGGATGCGCACGTGCATGAGTTCAGGGACACATGCCCAGGTGTGTAAGAAGGGCCCCCCCATGTGCAGACACAAGTATACAAGCCTAAGTGAGGCACCAGCTCCTCAAGAGTGTCCTATGGTCACCCATCCGTCCAGCGGGGGGCGCCTGAAGGCCACCTGGTCACCACTGGCTCCTCTTGGGATAGGCACTGCCCCTCCCCAGTGGCCTGTCCCCACAGTCCCCACACCTGTGTACTCAGGGAAGCAGATGGTCAGGGGGCTTTGTGTGATCTTCTCCTCGAACAGGTCCTTCTTGTTGAGGAAGAGGATGATGGATGTGTCCGTGAACCACTTGTTGTTGCAGATGCTGTCAAACAGCTTCATGCTCTCATGCATGCGGTTCTGGGGGCAGGACGGTGAGGTCAGCGCCAGCCATTGCTCCCTTCCCCACCCCCAGTGTTCTCTCAGCCTCTCACCATCTCCTCGTCCTCAGCTAGCACCAAGTCATAGGCGCTCAAGGCTACGCAGAAGATGATGGCTGTGACGCCCTCAAAGCAGTGGATCCACTTCTTCCGCTCCGACCGCTGACCACCCACATCAAACATCCTGTGGATGGACACAGGATCATCTTAGCTCCAGAAAGGGAGCCCCAAGGGAGGCTCTCTGCCCCATTTCACAGCCGGCCAACTGAGGACAGAGGCCTGCCCAGAGTGGGGCAGCTGCCTTCATGGAATCATCCCCACTTGCCCACCTCACCCCTGGTTCTGGGCCAGGGCATGTCTGGACTGGCAGGGCCAGGGGCCCAGACAGCAGGGAAGCTGCAACCTATGGGGCAGGGGCAGCAGAGGCTGTGAGCGGCTATCGAGAGGAGGCATGGATGCGCTAGGTGTGAGGACATGCGTTCCCAGGATACAGCCTTGAGAAACCTCAGAGTGGGCTGGGGGCTTCTGGACCACCTCCTCCTTCCAGCCCAATGGTTGGCGGGTGCTGCCCCTCCACCCTGCCCACACGCCCACTCACTTGAAGTGTAGGTCCTTAAAAGTGAAATGTGTCTCCACGATACCCGTGGTCTTCACGCGGGTCCGTAGCACATCCTGCTGCGTGGGGATGTAGTCACTCTGTGCGATGCGCTCCAGGTCATTCAGGTAGCTGGGGGTGGGGTAGGAGGGTCGGTGGGGGCCAGCTGGAAGAGGCCCCTTCCCTCCCATCCCCATTGCTTCTTTAACCCTTGCCTGCATTCCATTCATTGCTCAAATGAAAAAGCCTGGACCGTGTCATGTGCCTCCCACCCATGGAACAGGACTAGGAGGAAGTGTGGCTGTGTGGCTGGCCGGCCAGCCAAGCTCCAACACCGAGGGTCTGAACTAGGCTTGCCTCAGACGGGAGCCAGGATGTTGGGGCTAAAGGCAAAGGGAGTGGGAGGGGACAAATTAGTCCTTCAGGGAGGGATTCAGGATGCTAATTATGGCACCAGCCACAGAGCAGCCTGGTGTGGTCCCTCGATGTGGAGCTGGACAGGTTGGGGCCTGCCAGGCCCAGCGGGCTCTTTGCCCAGTGCCCAATAAAATCTGGGCCCTCAGGGGGAGGGCACAGACACCTGCTTGGCGGAGGTCCCAGGGGCTCCTCATTACCAGCTCCCTTAATTAGTATTAATGCCACCCCTGCTGGGCCCGGATCTGCTGCCTGTCTCAATATCCTTGCCATGTCCTGGGGGCTGGGTCCAGGCCTCCATGCTGCTGCCCTGTGCCGACTTCTCACTCCTGAGGCAAGGCTGCTGGGGCCAGCCCTGAGCTCCCACCAACAGCCAGGCCAAACCCAGACAGAGGGAAATGATCTCAGAGACACAGGGACAGAACAGAAAAACAGGAAGGGCCGTTGGGGACCATGACGCATGTGCTGTGACCTGCATACTATTCCCCGACCCCTAGTGAGAAGAGCCCCCAACCTGGAGGCCTTATGGTGGGTTTCAGCCTCTCCTTTCTCCCCAACAGGTGGAGCCACCCCAAGGACCCCCTGCCCCGCTGCAGTCTTAGAGGACTGCTGTGAAGAGGGTTGGACTAGGCCTCTTCCCTGTGGTGTTCTCATCCACACCCACCCCCAGGTGGTCTTGTCAAGGCATAAACCTGCCTGGGAGAGCAAGGCCTGTGTTCACTGCCGAATCTCCAGTCCCAAAACAGTGCAGGGCACACAGTGGATGCCTAATGTCTGGAGAATGAAGAAACAGGATGATGGAGAAGTGGGAAGTGGCCTGGAGGTGGCTCTATACCCATCCCCTTTGAATATTGTGGACGCTGAGGTGGCAACGATTGACAGGGCTCACTCCTCCCTGTCTCTATACCCACAAACTCTCTGGTGGCTGAGCCTGTGACCTCGGGGAGGGTGGCACTGAGGCCTGGAGGCCCCTGCAGCATTTGGCTGTGACTTCACAGCTCCTTTGCAGGGCCACATTCACGAGGGCATTCAGGCCACAGAGGAGGTTGAGAGGGGGCTGTCCATGTAAGTGGGGCAGGGCTCAGGAATCACAGCTAGGTGAGACCCTCCTCCTACCCGCCCTTGCCAAGGTCCAGCCCCTCTCTGGGCGGGCTCAGGATTAGATGGGCAGTAGGAGCCAAAAGCCTATTCCAGACAGAGGGAATGGCTTAAGCAGAGATAGGGGAGGGAAGATTAGAGTACAGGGACAGCAGCCTATCTGTGGCACCATCCCAAACCTTTGGATGTCTCCTATAGACCTGCAGCCACCCTCACTGGCTAACAGTCTGTCTGCCCTGCACCAGTCCTAGCATATGGTAGGTACTGCAGGGAAGGCGTTCAGAGTGTGGGCCAGGCCCAAAGGGTCCAGGCCTGTTACGCCTCTGGAACTCCAGTACCCCCTGCAATTCCCCCGCTGAGTCCTGGGCTCCAACCTGCACGCACACCTGTCACCTCCCAGAAAACCCTTTCCCTCCTTGTGGCCCTCTCTCCAGCCAGCCTGAACAGCCTCTGTGTCCTCAAGCACAGCTAGCTCTCTACTGCCTGGAATCCCTTTGCCCATCCTCCCCTGGCCAACTCTCGTTCAGAGTTCAGCTGAGGCAGTCCCTCCTCTGGACTACCCCCACCCAGCATGACAGTGATATCCTAAGTTGTCACTGCACAGGGACTTGTCTGCTCCACTCATCACTGTCCCTGAAGCCTTGTACAGGGCCTGGCACAGAGTAGGTGGCAGCAAATGTTCTTTAGAATGATTGTGGAGACAGGCCAGGCGTGCTGGCTCATGCTTGTAATCCTAGCACTCTGGGAGGCCGAGGTGGGAGGATCGTTTGAGCTCAGGAGCTCGAGACCAGCCTGAGCAAGAGCAAGACCCCGTCTCTACTAAAAATAGAAAGAAATTAGCTGGACAACTAAAAATATATAGAAAAAATTAGTCGGGCATGGTGGCACATGCCTGTAGTCCCAGCTACTCGGGAGGCTGAGGTAGAAGGATCGCTTAAGCCCAGGAGTTTGAGGTTGCTGTGAACTAGGCTGATGCCACGGCACTCTAGCCCAGGCAACAAAGCAAGATTCTGTCTCCAAAAAAAAAAAAGAATGATTGTGGAGACAGATCAAACTCAATAGGCCAGAACAGATGTGCTGGATAAGCCACCCCACTTGTCATTCCTCCTGGTTTTTCAGTACCATCCATTCCACCCCCACTCAAACCAAAAACATCAAGGCCTTGGTTGACAGTCATCAACTTCATAAACAGAGACCAGCAGTATCCTGTGGGGGGTACGCAGGCCCTCCAATCCAGCCTGTAGTCCAGACCTCCCCCATCCCCTGCCCAGCCCCTGGAGCACTCACTAGGCGGCTGAGTCGTTGAGCTGGTACTCCCTTGAGCGGCCAAAGCAGGCCTGCACACCGTGGTCAGCCCAGAGCCTCCGGATGACGCCAGACAGGTCCTCAGGGAGCACACCCTGCTCCTCGGCAGTGCAAGACAGTGCAAACAGCTGCCTGGCGTCGTCCTGTGCACAGCGGTGTGTGGTCAGCCAATTGAAGGAATGCACCCCCACCCTGCCTGTCAGAGGCAGGGAGACCTCTGGAATGGGGCCCAGGCTAGGGTATTCTCAGGTTCCCCAGGACAAGACTTGCCCTGAAGCTTTTTGGGAGGTGGGGGAGGGTGGGGCAGGGTGCACATACCGCTCGGGAGGGGTCGGCAAAGTCAATCTGCAGGTTGCCCATGGCCTTGACGATGGCCATGATGGACTGGATGGTGTTGCTGTAGACGACCGCCCGATACTGCCGGCATTCCTCCTCGGAGTAGCCATCCTCGTGGATGATCCTGACAGCCAGGGGTCAGGGGTTAGGGCACCAGGGCAGAGGGAGTTCCTATGGCTGTCTAGGGCTGCTGGGGCCTACAGGGACCTGCTTCAGAGAAGGGGAAACTGCCCCTGACCCGCTGGGACCTGAGGGTAGATGACTGCCCCTGAGAAGGTCCTCGGCCTTGCTAAGACTGTCTGGGCCTGTACTCGGGGGCAGTGCAAGTCCAGAGGAAGAGGAGGGGAAATTAAGGTTTAAGGGAGTACCAGGTTTGGGAGCTGCCTTCCGTTTCAGCACTTACTTCATTTGCTTGACGATGGTGCTCTTCCCTGACTCCCCAGCACCTGGAACAAAGGGCACAGATGGTTAGAGGGCAGGCCAAGAGGGCCCCATAGGTGTGCAACAAGTGCCCAGCCACCTGCAGCCCTGGAAGCAGAACTCACTCTGCCCATTGTTGCACAGCGAGATGTAGGCAGCTGAGCCTGGCAGGCAGTTGAGCTCTCATGGTGCAGCTGGCAGGGCCACAGTGGTCAAGGCAACCCAGAGCACCTGTGCCCCAGAATCTCTGCAGGCTTTTGCCTCCCACAAGCTCCACTGCCCACCGTGACAGCCCATCGCCCTAGCTGAGTTCAGGGGGCTTGGCTGGAGACTTGAGGCCAGCCCTGTTGTTTGCACATACGCAGGCTTGCCACCCTGTGTAGCGGGTGCTGGACAACACGGCACCTCAGGCAGAGCTGGCAGGAAGGCACCCTGCATACTCCAGGAGGGTGCAGCCCCTCTTCTCCCCACACTCTGAGCCTTAACTGCCAGGGGCCTAAGCAGAGGCAATGTCACACCCCTGCCTCCCGAATATGGCCCAAAGCCCATCCCTCTGCTCGCTCAGCTGAGGTCTGCACTGAGCAGATGGAGACTAACACCTGGGAGACGCACGGTATTTCTCCCTCTCTCTTTCTCACAGACACACACCCACACATACCCCTGTACCGACTCAAGCTTCTTCCCTGGCCTGGTAGAGCCCCTGCCCCATGTTTGTCTTTAACTGGTACTGAGAGGTTTGCTGCATTCTCCCCTGTGTTTGTCATGGCAGCCCCATAAGCACATACTGTTTCTGCTCCCATTTTACAGATGAGGAGCTCAGAAATTGAGGCTCAGAAAAGTCTTGGTCCAAAGTGATGCAGCCCAGATTCAGAAGGGCAAGGGGTTGCATGGAACCATGATGCCTGGTTCTCAAAATGTGGTTCAGACCCTGCAAAACAATGCTCTGGGAGAATGTTTACAAAAGCAGATTCCCAGGTCCCATCCCAGACACACAGAGCCAGGTCTTGAGTAGTACAGCCCAGGAACCTGCCTTCCCCAGGAAGTCTATGCAGGGAAGTGTGAAGAACAGGCTGGGGGCTAGAGGGAGTGGGGGCAAGGCCTCCCCTCGCCCCCTTGCTGTTCCCTGCCCTGAGTTCCAGATAGAATGGCCCTCAGCTGGGCCCCACTCTCTTCCCAGCCTTTCCCCAGACCCTCTGCTCCCGCCCCATCACTGCCAGCCACACCTGCACCTGCCAGGCACTGTCTCTTGCCACCTCCAGACCTTTGCTCATGCTGTTCCCCTTGCTGGGCGTACCTGCCCCATGCACCATCCACAGTGTCCCAATTCTCCTCATCACTGTGGCAGGTCTGTCACTCTGTGCAGCTTAGCAGGGTGGGTGGTGGGGTCTGTGGGGAGGTCAAACTTAGGGACTCTGCCCCACCCCCCCACCCCCGCATCCCTTGGGGCTAGTCAAGACCACGTCAGAGGATGAAGATGCCGACATGGACTAACAGGAGCAGCAATAACAATAACGGCAGGGCTGTGACCAGCACCCACTGTGAGCCAGATGCTGTTCCATGTCTACCACATCCACTACTGACTTTAATCTTGTAGTCTCTGCACAGCAATCCTGGGAGGTAGGTTCTTTCCTCATCCCCTAACAAATGAGGAAGCTGAGATGCAGAGAGGTGGAAGTCACACAGTTACAGTCCCCTCTGTGGGTAGTGCACCTTGCCCACCACATGGTACCTCCTCTAGCTGTCCTAAGGGCCTCGTACAGCAGCTGGGCCATGCAGTCCTCAGAGCCCAGCTGCACTTGTCACTGGGTTCACTCCCTGCCTCCCTAGGCAGACTCTGGTCCCAGTCTCTGCAGCACTCAACAAGCCACAGCAGGCACGGGACAGGGCGGTGGATCTCCCCAGGGGTCCTGCCTGCCTTCAGCCCCTACCCAAGACCCACATCTTCCCAGGTGAGACTGAGGCGTAGCTGTGGCCCTACAGGAGTGGTCTGGGAATATCCACATCCCAGCGGCCACCCTCCTCACAAATGCCACCAGGTGCCTGGGATCACTGGGCTTCTGACTGTCCCAGGCCCGCTTCCAAGGCTGGGGGCAGGGGTGCAGGCTCTGGGCAGGCAGGGGGCAGCTCCTGGGGTAGCAGTGCCCTCTATCACTTCAGCCCCTGGGCACTAGAAGCACCAGGCCCAGTATATCGCCTGGGTGTGGGCTGGGGTCAGATGGCAGCGCCACTCCCTCCCCATTGGGCTGTGTGGCAGAGGTGCAGCCAGGATCTCACATACTAACACTCCTCCACCAGCAAAGTGGGGATGTGAGGAGAGGTCTGAAAGCAGAGCCATAGTGATGTTCCATCATGGAGGCCCATCCCCCTGCCGGGGCCCAAACACCCATCGGGGCAGGGAGGGCAGTGAGGGGAGCAGTGGCTTCCCACATGCTCCCACAGAGCAGGAGGAAGGGGCACATCCTGGAGCAGAGAAGAACCAAGAGCCATAGTCTCAGCCAGGACTGGGGCCCCCGCTGGTGGAACAGAGGCCAAGAGGCTAAAGTTGATCACGCAGCAGACTGATCATGCTTGCCTCAGCCAAGTGAACTGAGACTCAGAGGCGGGTAGATGTCCAGGGCACAGGGGACCTGAGATTTAGGGTGAAGGCTGCCCCTCCTGTGTGACTTTGGGACCCCTGCCCACCTGATGCATCAGTTTCCCTATCTGGCCAATAGGGGTGGAGAGGGTATCTTGCCCTTTGGCCACTCTTAGTAGGTGGTGTGGGCCACTCTATGACCCTGCCCAGTGATAGGGATGACAGCACAAACTCGCTTTGCATCTGATTTTCCTAGCAACAGGAGACCTAGTAGATGCCGAGGCAGGCAGCACCTGAGCAAGCAGGGCTGGGAGCCAGGACACTTGCTCCCTGCCCCAGCCAGCTGAGGGCCCTCTGCCCTGTTTCCTTCAAGTCTCAGTTTCCCCTCCTGAGGCCTCTCTCTCAAATTCTAAGAGTTAGGAGGGGAATCTCCACCCTCAGCAGGGGCACTGCAAAAAGAGCCCCACTTGACAGGTAAGTAAAACAAGGTCATGGAACCTCTAACCCTGGATGCAGGGCGGTCCCTTTATCCTTCTAGCAGCTGTGACTCAGGCGGGAAGCAGTGAGTGGTAGGACAAGGCGTGGTGCTGGCGGCCAGGCAGGAAGTGGGGGGAACACCGGGACAGAGTCACGGGCATGGCCCAGGAGCAGCTCCAGCAGAGAAGGGGCCAGGAACAGAGGTGGGTGGAGCCACAGCACCTGGGTGGAATGGGTGGGGCAAAGACCCTGGCTCTCAGGCAGTGCACAGGTTAGGTGCCTTGGGAGCTGTGGGGCAGCAGCTTCGTTTTTCACTCTGGCTGGACCCCTTTTCCATCGGGATCTGATGGATCTCCCCTGCCAAATAAGCTGACATGTGGCCCAGAGTTTTGCTTGCACCCTGATTGTGAATACTTAGCTCCCCCGACCCATTCCCGTGCCCTCCTTTCAGGAGAAGGAGCTTCCCCAGCTGACTCCAGATTGCTGCAAAGGAGGCAACAGAAGATGGCAGGAGTCAGCCCCTCCTGCCCACAGAGAGCCCCATTAGGTGCTCCATCCCCAGCTGGGTGAGACCAGAGAAGCCACAGAGGTTCCCTGGGGTGGCCTTGGCATTCTCACTGGGCCACACCTCTTCCCACCAAGGAATAAACCTCTGTAGCTCTTGCCCTGTGGCGCAGCTGCTGGGCCCACAGCAGGCAGGCAGTAATCGCAGTGATGTGCTGGGCACCAGCAGCTGCTCTGCATTAGAACATCTGCTTTCACTCTGGGAGCCCGATGGAGGAGGGAGCCAATGGGGGAAGGGAGACAGCAACACCCCACCTGCGTGAACAAGGCCAGCAGGGCCTCTGCAGCAAGAGACGGGCTCACAGGTCCAATTGCTTGCTGCTTACCCCAGGCCCCAGCATTCAAGTCACTGCTGTCTGTTCATCTGGGACCTTCAAAGTCCTAGATAAAGCTTTGATCTGCTGGGAGGCTGTCACATGCTGCTGTCCTCTCTGGCCTCAGGTTCCTTTGTGCAGAGGCTGCCAAGCCTCAAGTGGCTGACCAGCCCACCTCTCACTTTCAGATCCTCTGCCAGGGGAAGGTCCAGACCTGCCACAGCTCTGATGCCCATCCTGATCCTTCCTGAGATCTCACAGAGGTTCAAGTTATCACTATTTTTCTACCCTTTGGAAGATTACAGATTCTCTCCAAACCTCTCATTCTGGCAGCCTGTAATGACCATGCTGTGCTGGTCACTGCAATGGCAACCTGCAGAGTGGACTGCTGCGGTCATCTCATCTGAAGCAGAGCTTTTGAAGACTTCAGATAAAAGAACAGATGAAGAGCGACGAGCAGTGGCCAACAGGCTGATTCTGAGCAGCAGTGGGTCCCTGCTGGGACAGGAGTAGAGCCACTCGCTCCTCTACTGGCTTTTCGCTCTGAGTTCATCACTTCCCTTCGACACAACCCAGCACTCCTACATGGCTGGGGCCTTCTTCCTGACCAGGGGCCTCACTGCTGACAGTGCTCACCGACTCCACACTCTCAGAAAGCTGGGCAGGCTGGGTAAAAGCCCTCCCTGCAGAGAATTCCATGCTGGTGGGCTCCCCTGGAACACATGGGGCTAGGCAGAGCAGCCAGCTGACGTGGCAGGCCTGAGGGCAGAGACTCTCATAAGCCTGTGGCTGGGACCACAGGGTAGACTTGGGCAGCAGCCCAGCTCAAACTCACAGCAAGCACAGGGCGGGCCCACACCCCTGGCCACACCCCGCCCCACCCCCGGCCTACCCCGTTGGGGCAAAATGGGGAAAATGGGGGTGAGCCCTGGGAAGTCCACCCCAAAGGCAGCCTGCACACCACCTCCTACTCTCACCCCAGGAAGGTGCCACATCTCCAGCCCAGCCTGCCTTTCTCATGATCCCATCCTCCTGCCCCCCCTTCCCTCTCCCCCTCCCTCTCCAGGTCCACACCGGGTCCCAGGCCCGGCCACCA